ACTAAACATCACCCAAACAGATGTCATGAAAATCTGGGATCAGCTCTTCGCCATTCACTTGAGAGCAGTCGTCGAACTGATCCACGAATCGGTTCCACATTTGGAGAAAACTAACGGCACTATCATTAATATCTCAGGTGTCGCCGCCATAGCCCCGGTATTAATGATATTGATTTATTTTTGAAACAATTTTTAAAAACTTAAAATACATTCACAAATAGATGTCTCAAGCCTTACTTCCCGGCTCAGGAGATATGATGACTCGAGTACTGGCCCTCGAATTGGGTCCCAAAGGCATTCGTGTCAACTCTTTGAGGTTATTATTAATTGATTTTTAAACTTTTTATATTTTAAAACTATTATCAATTATTTTATACATTAGTCCGGGATCTACACAAACAAGGGATAAGATCGACCCTTTGCTTGAATTAACAAAAAAGATTACACCACTCCAGCGATTGGGACAACCATTAGATATGGCGAAAGGGGTGGCATTCCTGGCCTCAAGTGATGCCTCATTCATAACCGGCGCTAATCTGGTGGTCGACGGCGGACTCGTCTATAATATCGGCGCTTTAAATACTTTATAAATCTTTTATTTATTATGAAATGATAAATATATGGTATTTCAATAAAAATGTTTCTGGTAAAATAAACAAATTAATTTAATTAATTGTATTCAAAATAATCAAATTTAATTTTTATTTTTATTTAAGTTTAAATATTTAAATAATTTTTTGTAATTACTAACTTTTATTAGATAGCATTAAATTTGTAATTAATAAACTAGCATATAGCCAAATAACTATTTATATGTACTGGTATTATCATTTAAACATTTTTATTTATTAATATTTTAATTAATTGAATGAGTTTATGAATTTATTTAATTTTTAATAAATGTTTAAAAATACTTATTACTTTAATTTACATGCAGGATACTTGCCATTATGTTTATAATGTTTGTACTTATTAATATGTAGTAATTCATTATAATTACAGCATTATATTTTTATCACAGAATGAAATTAATAAAAAATTATATGAAAAAGTTAAATCACTTAACCTAGATTTATGTTAAATCATCATGAATGAATATAAAATTTTCGAAATGTTCAAGTGTCTCAATTAGTCACTGCCACCTATGACTAATTGAAGTTTATGAAATAATATGTTAGTTTAAGGTAGAGTAGGGTAAAGTATGCCATTGATATCAATTTGTATTTATCTACTTGTGCCCTACCATATCAGGCTAGATCCATAGTATTATATATCTCCCCATAATGTAAGTTAGTTTTGAAATATTATTGTACTGTATTGCTTTCTGATAATAACTTTCAATCAGAAGTGCCAGGGTACTCAGGGAGATCAATTTATATTTAGTATAAACCACTACAGTAGTTTTTATGATGTCATTAAACATTGTTTTATAACTTATTGCATAAATTAATTATTTCCTATGATATTGCAATAAAATATTCAGAATAATTTCAATTGTAATTAAAATTATAAATTATAATTGCCGTTAAGCATTGAATTGACTGTTAAACCATGCTCATCAAATTGTTCAATATTTTTATCCAAAAGTACGTTACGTTGCACTTAATTAATCAGTTTAGTTTATCAATAATATGAGATAATAAACATAATCCAATAACAAGTCCTATTGAACTGTTTGGACAATTTTGTGTATATAAGGAATATTCCAAAATTTATAAATTATTAATATTTCAGTTAATCATAATACTGTTCCTACTGTCATATATTAATGTTTTACTAAGATTTTACTATAATGAAATTATTATTAATATTGACATTGATTTCGATAGTTTGTGCGGATTTTGATATCAAAGATTATAAAGATGTAATAAATTCACGAAACTTTACGGGAAAAGTAGTTTTGGTGACCGGAAGTAGTTCTGGAATCGGGGA